AAACATGAAGTGTCATAAGAGAGCACTCGCTTGCTATTTTGTTTGCTTGAATTTCATTTTATGCTTTAGCAATGTCTGCCTTTTATGAGGAACCACGTTTCACGTGTGGACCTGAACCACATACATGAAGCATTTTAAATCAAAAAGCTAATGATAATGCTGGGGGGTGCGTTCACATTTACGACATACTTCACAAAACAAGATTTTCAGAAATAAAATGGTGGATTCTAGTAGGACTGGACTCTGGACCACGCTACATATCGTGTTAGCTAGGATTCCGCTTGAAAAAAATTACAGTGGATGACAGCTAGTTGGTGCAAACAAATCCTTTCGATCTCCATTTGTCTTCATATGTCAAAATGGGTGATTTCTCATTTTAACTTATTTTTTCTAATTTTGATAAAGAAATTTTAATAGAAAATAGGAATGGTTAGGTTTGAACTCGAGACTATCTCTTCATAAACTAAACTTCGGTATCATGTAAAAGATTAATTTAATCTTAAAATTTAAATTTGTAAATAAAATTACATTAATAAATTTATATTAATATATTTAACACAAATTTAATTTAATCTATAAAATAACTTTTTACTCCCTATATTTTTGAAGTTAATGAAATGATATGACTTGCATATCTTTGAAAGTTAACTCGATGGAAAATATTTTCAATGCTACCATCTCACTATTAAATCGGTACATCCTGTTATGTATATCGAACCCGGAACACTGAGATTCTGATACCACTTAAAGAATTAATTTAACTCAAAAATTTAAGTTATTGGGTGAGACTATATTAATGATTTTATATATCTCAACATACATTGTTAAGAAAAATTCTTTAAAAGCATACATATATATTATTTAATCGTCTTGGGAATGAGAAAAAAATACATGTATCACCAACACTCTGAGATCAGCCGGGATATTATCATTGGTTGGTTTTTAAAAATAATACATATTTTCTTTAAATATTATGATACAATCTTAATATTATAGCTGAGTTTTAAAAAATAGTATAATTTTAACACTAGCTAAATTCTACCTGATTGAGTTGTTGACATGAGCTACAATTATTTATTTCAACACCTATAAGATATTTATTACAAGTGTAGGTATATGGCAGTAAATTGAAGACTCGGTACTACAATAGCATTAAAAATGACCACCATCAACCATTGATTTATGTGATAATTCGAGAATATGATATTGGAACACAATACTTGAATCGAATTAATCAAACAATTACTAAATAAGTGAATATGTATAAAAAAAAAATCTAGAGATGATGGCTTACGGTGGTGATTCTCTACAATCAATTTTTTTTTTAAACAATTCTCTACAATTATTAGTATAAACATAGGGTTTATCTTTTATCTTTTCACATGACATAAAGATATATCATGTCATCCTAAGATTACATCATTTTGAGAATTAAAAAATTAATGAATGATATTTTGATGAAATTTATATGATAAATAAATAAATACAAATATCAAAACTACCTTCAATAATTTCCATAACTTACAAAACGATGTAAGTTTGAAATAATATGAACATGACATGACTCATGTGTCATAAAGAAACAAACAGCGAGATAATATCGTGAAAGACATAGCCTCGGGTCCAGTGTCAATAGTGATCAATCTTTATCGAGCACGTGATGGACAATATATGATAAAAGTAAATTGTCGTTAATTTGCCAATGGTTCAATCGAATGACTTTATTTTCCATTTTAAAAAAAATTCTTTACCAATTAGAGATATAGTAAATTCTTCAACAAACTTTTATGTAATAAATTAAATTTTTAAAAAGTTGTTAATCACGAAAATAAATTTATTTATTTATTTTTGTACATTAAAAATAGAATTTCTTTTACTTACGCTAGGCGTTAACATTTACATTACACTTTCTAATGCTTTAATTAATAACATATGTGAATCTAATTTTACAATTTGGACAAATATGTAATTTTGAGTATAGAATATATGAAAGATAATAGATTTCCAAGGTCAAGGCCCAAGCCCCGACAATGACGTACTCACTGAACCATAAGTAGAACTGTTACGGCACAACAGCATGACATTTGGCACCGCTTGCCAGCAAATTTCTTTACCACCAAATACAAATGTCATGTGCCTATATAATTATTTAGCACTGCCGTACACATTACCCAGCGAAACTTCTTTTTATTTGGTGAATTCAGCGAAACTTCTTTAGTGCTTGTCAAAATTATTTTAATATATATCATTTTAGGCACGTGGGTTTTTTTTTTTTTTTTGACAGATGGGTTTTAATTTTTTTAATATTCTTATATTATTAATTAATTGGTGTACACTAAATATTGGATTTTTTTTCGTACTTTGAAAATTCTTAAGAAACTTCCATTGTACAATTATATATAAAGATTAAGGGGATTGCAACTCTCATTTTATATGAGAGTAGTTCTCACATGTTACAAAGAGAAGTCATGTGGAGTTTATCATTAAAGGATAAAAAAAATGAACAAAAATGAATGAGATTTTCGAAGTGAGATAACATGAGATAATTACCTCATGTAAAATGAGATTAGTATTTTTCAAAGATTAATTGCATTGATAGATAAAATCATTTTTGAATTTTGAGTTGAGTTGATTTTTTTCTCTAAAATTATTAAAAATCATACTATCAAGTTATCAACAGTTAACTTCTTATATTGTCTATTGAGAAGTGTGAGTGTGTGAAATCTTATATTAGTTAAGAATGAACTAAGTGAGCATCGTATAGGTGAAAGAATTCATATATCTAATGCCTCAAGATTTTGGGTTTAATTATGATATTTTGAGTCCACTTAATATTACTGCTCACTTGATCCATAATTGACTGTCTTTCTGTGGCCCAACATTGTCTTCCTTATCATTAAAAAAATCTTTGATGCAAAATAAAGTGAGTTATTAACTAATCTTTAAATCCAAAGTGTTCCTATGCATGGAAATATATTAAATTAAATCATTCACGTAAGACTATTTAACTGGTTTATTAAATTATTAATTAACAATATAAATAGGTCGAAATTCTTTGCCTAGTATTTCTTTGACTTTTGTACGGTGGAAGAAACCTCTTTGCAGAGTCTCTTCATTTTTGCTTTCTATCATCCCTCCCGTAATTTTACATTTCGAATGTTTTCTGGATGGCCCGCAACCGTCTGGCCCATTAAGACAGGCCCAAATCCTCTTCTGTTCTTCTTTACGTCAGTCTTGTTGATTAGAGGCTATCAATCCTCCTGTCTCTCACGGGACAGTATCTCCAAAGTAAGACACCAAAATATCTACTCACTTCCTCGGATTAAATAGAAGTTCCCCTTATCCAGATATAGCAGCAGTATCAACATATCAGAGACTACATTGTTGCCACTGCAGCAATGTCAGACACCCATGGCATCCCCCAAGGAGAGTTGACCTGGCTCACTCTCCTATGTGAGCAGGACATCTTTTCCACCTATAAATACCCCTCTATCACCGGATAAGGGGATTTATCTTGTTACTCTACTATTTTCTCAACCCATTTTATTGATCCAGACCTTGGGACGCTGCCGTTTAACTTGATCTCTATCTCTATTATCGGCAGAACTCATATAGTGATCCACGTTCCATCTAAGGCAACATAATGCGCTTGCAGCTCTCAAAAGATACAAAATGTAAATAATAAATAGACAATGCAACGATTGAAATTGATAAGCTTGTTACAATGGAATCGTATATCTGAAAAGCTTGCTCACAATGAAAAGGAATAAACAGCTGTACGTGGAGAGTAATTTCTAGGTACTTTTCACAACGAAATTCTAGCAGTCATCGTAAAAATCATATATCAGTCAAAATCATTGAATCAGTAGCGTCCTATTAAGAAAGGGTTATGTTTATCTCATTTTACATGAGATAAACATCTCTCTTACACACACAAAAAAAGGGTTGGGTCCCACCACTTTTTTCCTCTCTCCTCTTACATGTGGGTCCCACTTATACTTTTGTTTCTACAACATAAGATAATTCTTTTCCTACAACATAAGAAAAATATATCCCATTAAGAAAAGGTTTAATGTAAATTGATAAACAAGAAATTTATATCTAAAGAAAAATAAAAATAAAATCTATCTGGAGTTTTTTTGTCTTAATTTATTCTGTGTAATGTAATGCATTGTAATCTTGTTAAAAAAGGACTTCTTTGTGTTCATGGAATAAATGAAGCAAAAAATAAAAAATAAAAAATTCTAGTACTAAATATAAGTATATTTACTTTCAAATTTTATTTGGATAAGATCGTGATTTACTTTAAATTAAATTAAATGTTAATTTCGGCTAAAAAAAAGTAAATATTAATATACTTTTATTTATATATTACAAAGACAAGCTCATTTTAAATTGTTAAATATTAATTCACTTTTTTATTTGTTGTTTTAAAAAATTGATGAATCTATTGTTTTTTTACCTTTGTATTAATAAGTGAGAGAATATATAAGTAAATTGATAATAATATTTTAAGTATTTTAATAAATAATAATCAAAACAAATATAGTTATGATTATTATTATTATGTTGACCATAATTAACAAATGTAGTGATCATAAAAAATACTAAAAAAAAGTAAATTCTCAAATATGACCCTTTTTTTTTATCACTCCAAATGGTCTTTATTGTCAATGAGGTAATCATATATTATTTTATGCATAATTGATATGCATTAACGAAGCAAACAAATGTTATGGTATGGCTCCACAAATCCTGTAACCAGTAATAACTACGGGTCAGATTCTAAACAGGCTTGGCCCAAGTTCTCGTAATAATATGGATTTATATTGTTGGGTTCTTCTCACGTTTTAGTAATAAATGGGCCAAGTTCTAATTGATTGCAATCATGGGCCATGTTTTCGTAAAGACAAAACAAAAAACCTCTGTTCCGAGGGTGTCTGTCTTACTTACAGTACCTCTGTGAAAGTAAAGGGTAGAGGTTGTTGTTATGCTGTGCTATGGGGCTTCATCCAATTCCATTGAATTCATCTTCTACATTTTGTCGCTCCTCTTCTCTGCATTTTCTGGTTTTCCAACCCCAAAGCCACGTCACTCTCAAATTCCAAGTTTCCTGTTCGAACCAGACAGCTCAAGTTGACACCCAACGAGTGAAGGTAACTTTAGAATCAGCAAAGAAGAAAAAGAAGAAGAAGAACAGCCCCAGACCAAGCTTCTTTGAAAAAATTCGAGGTAAATGGTCCCTCAAATTGGGTTCCCAAAGAGAAAAATTCCCATGGCAAGAACCAGAAGAACAGCAAGAACAAGAAGAAGAAAAAAAAGTAGAAGAACATGAGTCTGACCAGTTCCAGAACAAGTCTTCAACGAGCTCTCCTTTGGATTTTCAGTTTCCAAAGCGTTTATCTCCTTGGCCCGAGGCAACCAACCCGAGAAATCCACGGTTTGATTCTGAATCTGATGCTGCTAAGGACGATAACAATGGCAAAGGCAAAGGCAAACCGCTACAATACAGGTTTGGTGATTCTGTTATTGAAAGAGAGGGAATCGTTGCTGAATCAGCAAGTTCGAGGGAAAGAGTGAATAGAGAGAGGAAAAGGAGAAGCAACATAGAGTTGTTGGCGGAGAGGTTGATTCCTGAACATGAGTTGCGGAGGCTCAGAAAGATTGCCTTGAGGACGATGGAGAGGTTCAATGTTGGAGTGGCCGGCATCACTCAGGAATTGGTGTCTTCCATTCATCAAAAGTGGAGGGATAATGAAGTTGTCAAGTTCAAGTTTGAAGCTCCTCTTTCTGTTAACATGAAAAAGGCTCATCACATTCTAGAGGTCAGTGTTAACACATTCCTTTAGTTTTCTAGGCTTGAATAAATGTTCTAACTGATAGTTCAAAGATAGAAATGCAGCCTTCATTTTCAATGTAGTCATTTTTTATGACTTGTCCTTTTTCATAGAATTTTTGAACTGCTGGAGTATTATTCACCTTATTATCCTCATGCTTACTCAGAGTAAAACTGGAGGTATAGTGATATGGCGATCAGGCAGTTCCATAGTGTTATATAGAGGAATGAGTTACAAACTTCCCTGCGTAGAATTGTATACAAAAACAATTCATGCTAAGGAGAATGTTGTGCACCGCTCAGAGCATGTTGGAAGTGGAAGTGATGGTCAAGTAAGCGTAAAAGAAACAGTTAGAACTACAGAATCATTTATCCGAGACTCTGAAAAGTATTTGAAGGACATGACTGAAGAAGAATTGATGGAATTGAGTGACCTTAACCATTTGTTAGATGAGTTGGGCCCACGCTTCAAAGATTGGACAGGCCGTGAGCCATTACCTGTTGATGCAGACTTATTACCTGCTGTGGTTCCGGGATATAAAACCCCATTCAGACTTCTTCCTTATGGGGTAAAGCATTGTTTAATCAACAAGGAAATGACTAACTTCCGTAGAATCGCAAGAACAATGGCTCCCCAATTTGCCCTTGGTATGCAAAAAACTATCTAGTTACAGTCATGTATTGCGAATGCCTCTTTCCAAAAAGATACTATGTGTTTACTACTGCAGGTAGAAACAGAGAACTGCAAGGTCTGGCTAGTGCTATGGTGAAGCTGTGGGAAACAAGTGCTATTGCAAAAATAGCCATCAAACGTGGTGTTCCCCATACATGTAATGACAGGATGGCTGAAGAACTCAGGGTATTTTTCATAAACACACCTGGAATTTCAACAAAAGCATTGTTTAATTTAACTTATTGAAATTTTACCATGTTAAAATCTACCCATCTGCTTGGCCTTTTGAGTCTAATGAGACCTTCATCTCTTATAAATGAAAACATTTGGATGAGATTGGGTTTCTAAACCCATTAAATCCTTATCTTATGTATCGATTGAAGTGTGAGGCTGTGAGCATAGGGAAAGAGGAAACAATAAAAATGAGGTCTGTCTAGTGTCAGTGTCACAAAGTGTATCTGCACTTTATTATTTTCATCCCTAAATAAGAAGGGTCAAACAACCATTGCATTTTATGTTAAATGCCTCTTTTGTTTTTAATCTTTGCTCAACCAGCAACTGCGTTTGAAAGTATTGGGTGAAATCTAAAACACCGGAATAAGTACCATGTTTCTGCATTTTGTTGTTAATGCTTAAACATGCTTTAGTTATTTATTTTCTTCATTTAACTTACTAAAGTCAGATGATTAAGATTAATGCAGACTGTCAACAACTGAACATGTGTGACTTTCATGCCATTTGCCATTGTTTTGGATCGCAAATAAATAGAAACTATTGTGTTTTTATTACCATTATTAGGGCTAAAATGTGTGTAACCCCTTCCAACTAAAATGTAGAAAACTCCCCTGTGGTTCAAAACTTTTTAACTCAGCTCCTTGAACTAATCAAACTAAGCATAGGAGCATAAATTAAACCCCGTGCATGTGTAGAAAATCCCCCTATAGGTAGTCAATATACTCAGTTTGGTAAATTCAAGGAATCGAGTTGCTATGTTTTGTACCACAAGGGATTTGCTACAATTGACCTATAGTTGAAGGGGGTTCCTTGAATTTTTTCCCATTATTATTCTACATTTTTTAATGACTTTTGGGTTCTAGAAAAAATATTCATGTACTTAACACCCTAAAGACTGCCTGCATTTAGACCTTTGTAATGCTCTTGGCTTACACTTTCTGGAGATATTTGTTTCAGCATTGTAAGATTCTGAAGACTGTTGGCACTTGACACATATATACTTTGACAGCTGTTTTTGTTCCTAATTTTTTTCCGTGGCATATTAAAGTGAATAAAATATTCCTTTCTTCAGACTAATGGTGGTTGCATATCATGCTTGCAGAAATTGACTGGGGGAACTCTACTTTCCAGAAATAAGGAATATATTGTATTTTACAGGGGCAATGACTTCTTGCCTCCTGCTGTCACCAATACACTGACTGAGAGACAGAAACTAACCCTCCTCCAACAAGATGAGGAAGAGAAAGCACGACAAATGGCTTCATCTATTACTGTATCAAATAGCAAAGAATATCAACTGCCTTTATTTGCTGGCACCCTTACTGAGACTCTGGCAGCAACCACCAACTGGGGACACCAACCAAGTAAACAAGAAGTTGAGAAAATGATGAGAGATTCTGCCTTGAATAAACTTACTTCTTTCATCAGAAACCTTGAGAAGAGACTAGATCTAGTAAGTTACAAAAGGACAAAGTGAAATAACTTCCTAAAAATTATTTGTTGTTACCACATCTATCTAACTTTTGATGGTCACAGGCAAAAGCAAAGATCAGGAAGGCTGAGAAGGCTTTAGCAAAAGTGCAACGTGGTCTGGACCCATCAAATCTTCCAACTGATTTGGAAACGTTAACTAATGAAGAGAGATTTTTATATAGGAAGATTGGTCTGAGTATGAAGCCATTCTTATGTCTAGGTAAGAACAACACATTTATTATAGCTTTATGAATAGCTGCGTTTGTATAGGGCTTAATGTTTTGTATTAAAAATGTTAGAAGAATAATACTTTTATTTCAGGGAGACGAGATGTTTATGCTGGCACCATAGAAAACATGCATCTACACTGGAAATATCGCGAGTTGGTGAAGATAATTGTAAAAGGCAGAAATTTAGCCCAAGTTAAACATATTGCAATATCTTTGGAAGCTGAGAGTGGTGGGGTGCTAGTATCTGTAGATAAGGATACTACCAAAAGCTATATAATTATTGTTTATCGCGGCAAGAACTATTTTCGTCCACGTGCTCTGAGACCCAAAAACTTGTTGACAAAAAGACAGGCATTGGCTCGTTCTATTGAGCTTCAAAGACGAGAGGTAATAAAGCAATGACTTAGGCTAAACTGAGAACTTATACTTGTTCTTTTATCTCATGAAGCTTTTGTTTATAATTTTTTCCAGGCACTAAAACATCATATCTCAGACTTAGAGGAGAGAATTGAGTTGCTGAAATCTGAGCTAGTATGATATTTTATCAGTTTTATATATGATCTGCTGTTAGTTATTTTGGATAGTTTATAAGTTCTTTTGTAAGATTTTGTTGTTGATTTCAGGAGGATATGAAGAACGGAAAAGAGATTGATGGTGACGAAACTCTTTACTCAACTCTGGATAACCCCGTTTTTTCAGATGATGATGACTTGGAAGAGGTATATATTCTCCTTCCGTAAACAAATTCCAAATGCTTGTAGTTTAAACGTTAACTTTGCCAATTATAGTATATGATAACAATTTTTAAAAGTACTTTCAGGAAATGGTTGTTAACATTGCTCTCCTTTTTCCTCTTATTTTCTTGGCCCTTTATTTTCTTTGGTGAACTAGAATGAATGGAGCAAGATTTATTTTGACAAAGATGACAATGGTGATGAGGACGAGAAACATTAAAATAAGCTACTTGACTTGGTATAGTAAAGCATTGCATTTGCAATAGCTGCGGAGGTTGAGCATCGTTGGATGACTGAGAAGACGAAGAAGAATGTAAAGTTTATGCTACAGAAGATGATAGATAGCACTGACACTTAGAGCCGTGTGATGCATCCCATAGGAAACTTTTTCAAGATAGTAGGTGAACTGAGACTATTATTGTTGCTTCCCTTGTGGGCATCATTTATGTTAGGGGAATTCGATCTTACCTCCAAGCAGTAGGAATACCTAAACGTGATGTAACATGTGAAATGGTCAATTCAAATGTATGATTGATTAATTGCGACCGTTTATTGTATTATCAATTTTGTTGTTAAAGCATAAAACTGCTATTAAATGTTCATATTGCTGTAAATATATATTTTTTTTGGGGTCAGAGATAATAATTATATCTTGACTTTCAGCCTTGGCTATTAATCACTTTGGGTAGGATACCTGATTTGTAATCTTTGCATTATTCCCTTCCGGTTTCAAAAGTGCTATTATATATGTGTGTGTGTACACACATACCGCCTGACATCATTATTTGCATTTCTCCTTTGTTCCTGTTTTAAGGAGGGTTTATTTATCATATGGTTAAAAGTGAGAGAAGTTCTTATCCTTCTCATCCGTTTTACTAGTTTTTTTATTACCTCTACTAATATATTCTTCTTATCATTTTGACTAGTTATAACCTTGGGAGTAGGATCATTGAATCTGCTGAAAGTCCACCCGCTAAAACAACGCTCATGTTTCATTCTTTAAAATGTCAAATTGGGACACAACTCGGAGGCCCCAATTGCCCAACCTTATTTACCATATGATAACTGTTTGCTCCACATACATAGTACGTAGGAGACTTAGCATACATTAACTTGATAGTTGATACATTAAAGGCAAATAAACTGGGCATATATGAAATATTGCTGTCACAGCTAACGATGGTTCTCTCTCATTCAATAAAATGAAAGAGGACTACCACACTGCAATATTGCATCATAGGCAGGTTTCATCAGGGACCTGCAAAAAGCAAGTTTGTCACAAGTATCACTTTCAATTTTCAATCGACTCGAAGCAGCAAGATGGAGCATCACCGTTATAGTTTTAGAAAGGCTAATAATTTTAAGAATTATAAAAAGATAGATACCTACCTAGCTAGCATAAAACTTGTCTGTCCAGTTGCAAGGTTTCCTTTATAAAATTCACCACAACTGACGTTAACTCAGCTTGATTGTCAGTATATACATGATCAGCTCCTTCTATGATATGTAATTTGTGATTAGGTAGGATCTTGGCAAACTCAAGTGCATCTCCAACCGGGATTATGGTGTCAGCTGAACCATGAACTGTAAAGACCCTGTTATGCATTATATGAATTTACATTACACACCCATGCATTATTGGAATTTCATAAATTCATTAAAAACTAACGATTTTCATCAACAAATTACCACAACTTTGTTGCTCTTTAAATATCCCTCCTGAATTCCTTAATTCCAAATTACTAGTCCATACTCCATACGCCATACAGACATAAACATAACATTTTGCATTTTCAAAGCATGAGCCAAGCATCAATCTACAAATAAAGTTTCCTCCACTAGCCGAGAGAATAAATCAAATAAGAAACGCTACTCCAAATTATCAACAGATTCAACACTACTATTTCTTCAATCTCCTAGAGTCCTAGTGTCCTCCTCTTGGCTCATATTAATTGAAAAATTTTAGAATACAAGTTTACAAACTGAAATAGGTCGAAGGTTTTGCCTTTCAATTTTCAGATGCAAATTTACCATAAATTACGGAAGTAATGAAAATTGAAAACTAATACTTTTGAAAAGTCAAACAGGAATCTTTTTTTCAAGAAAAGAAAAATGAAAAAATTAAGCATGAAAATACAAGTTATATATTTTCTTTAATTTCTTGCTAGTAGAAAACTTTGAACTCACAGAAAGTAATTGGCTGTGACGAGGTGTCATAGGTTTATTTAATCACTTTCATTCTCACAATAAAGTATTTCATTTTTTTTTAAGCATCAACTTGCAAAAAATACATTGATGTTCATTTCAAAATCAATTTTTGACATGATCAATTAATAAGGATTTTCTTTTATTTTAAAACTTGGCAGAAACATGTTCTTGAGAGAAAAACACTTAAAAGTCTCACGTATTAAATATTAAAGAAAAAAAAGATTTAAAGGGGAAATGTCATCGGTTATATACCGTACCGAAAACACCCTTGCCATTTAGTGATTCTGCTGTACAGATTATTACATTGAAACTCTGTAATGAAGATGAAAGGGGGAAAAAGAGAGGGGAACTATAAGACAAATTTTCCCTCACCTGCATTCTTTGTCAATCTGCTGGCATGCTTCATGCATATTTATGTTTAACCGATCCTTCAAACTTTCCTCAGTTAAACGATAATCAACAATTCCTACAAAAGCAGATGCAATGTGATGTCCTCTAGGACCTCTGGAAGAAAGAGTATATAGGAAAACAAATCAAGGCAATTTAGGCAAGTAATATGGACCCTGAATTTCTTAAAAGCATCTCTTAGAATATGCTTCTACACCAATTTAGGCATTCAAATAAATGACTGATTAAATGGCCGGTTACCTGACTTTGTCTTCAACTCAATGAAACCTTCTTTCCTGATTCTTTCCGTAAAATCTTTTCCAAAACTTTCTTCAAGGCCTCCCTTCAGATCATAGCGACCAGAGAGGTTGACAACTGTTTTAATATCATGATATTTTGAAGCATAAAGAAGCACCACATTAGCTCCTGCACCAAGATACAGAAACAATTCAGAACAATTTCAACATACCAACAAACTTTATAATTAACATAGTAACAGAATTCTATGTTATCATCAGTTATGTATTAGAATAAATTTGATGATACAAATCAATAACCTAAATGTATCCGGAAATTTCTTTCCTCGCCTCTTCTCAACCGTGGAACTACATATGCATGTATGGATATCAATGTAACGCAACAAACCTTTACTGTGCCCAATAATTGCACTAACTATACGATTTGCTCCATGAAAGTGTTGAGAAACAGCATGTAGATCATCAGCCTCCCTCCAATAGTCACCAAACTCAAATGAACCTTCACTCTCCCTAGAAGGAAAACTCAACAGCTCAATCAAAATGAAACAGTCAAACAATACTAATGGCCGAGCTTAGATAGCAAAAGTTTAGAACATGGCATAAATGGAGGAACAAGTGGTGATCCTGTAATTCTACCGTTAGGACAAGAGATCCATCTCAGATGGTTTTAAGTTTTAACATTTCTGTTGTGAAAGGAAATAATTACTTTGTTAAAAGTACAAAGCAATAAAAGTATCTACTTGTCTACATTCCCTCGTCAATTTAGAAATCAAGTTTTGCATAAATTATAATCTTGAATCTTGTATCTTGATAAATATATGTTCCAACAATAAGTAAAATAGCTGGGAGTAATAATTAACATAATGTTCAGTGGCATTGCATAACACTATTAATCAATGTTTGAATATAAAAATATTCAGCATCTGCTTCTTTGAATAGAAAATCATATGCTTGACAATCATTACCATCTTACGCCAACAACTCCATAAAATTATGTATACGCTTCGAAAGTTTTGCATTGCAGAAGAATTCCACAAAGGTTTGTAGCTTACCGTTTTTAGCATAGTTCTGAATCTAATAACAAAAATATTCATAATAAAAAGTGAAGTTGGTTGCATATTTTGAAGGTCAAGATTACAAACATAAATATGTACAGAATTCATGATTTTGTTCTGTAATACAAGAAATTTACCCATTTCCAGTGAAGTCAAAGCGGAAAGAACTGATTCCTGCATTCTCTAGTTCAGCAGCAAGGTTCATCATGATATTGTCTTCCTGGATATAAGAAAAAACTTAATTAAAAATGAGAATAATTGAATCAAGGTATGTATATGCGTATGGGGTTAGATGCCATATGAATTTCTAATAACATTTGAATAATAATTAAAAATAACCTTGGAGGCTCGAAGACCATGGCATAGGATAACAATCTCTTTGGTTCCAGATTCATGTATTATGCCCACTAGTTTATTGCCTAGCTTGTTGGGTATTATGACTTTCTGCTGCTGAAAAGCTGAAAAAATAATTCCAAAGTTTTGAAGTCAATTTCTATGAAATTGATCGAATATTCAACATGTTACGCCACTTAGGTTAACCATTGTGACTCATTATATCAAATACCACAATAAACATTATTTAATCAGCATCATTATGCCATAACTTTCAATTACCACATTCGATACTCAGCATCATTATGCCATAACTTTCAAGTACCACATTCTATACTTTTTTTGCATGTTATTTCTATTGATATAGAAAATACACTACAGATCATGGATTAGTAGATTGAATTTTTGCTACTCAACAAACCATTTCTGGAAAAAATTTCAGTGAAATAAATCAGTAGCGTCACAATAAACCACATGGAAGCCTTTTGGAGCACTTAAAGGTCAAACCTTTGCTACCAAGTGATCATGGGTAGTCATGTCATCAATATCGTAGCTTGCATATCACATATCAAACACAATAACTAATAACTCACGAGGGTTTTGTGCAGCTTGGGCCATCTTCAAGTTCAGGGTTCTTCCTTCTCCCTGGGATGAAAATGCGAACCGGGTAACAAGAAAAATCAGAAAAGTTTGTATATGAAAAAGCTTCCTAAACTCTGCTGCTTTCAATTTCCGACAGGACCACTAATGACGAGTTATCATAGCATCATACAAATTGTTATATTTATATTTTTTATATTTTCGCTTACATATATGCAGTTTAGGTAGGCCTCGTGTCGTGTATACAAATTGTCAAATTTATATTTTTCCTCATATCGTTATTACATTATTCATTTACTCTAAACAATACAACAACATTTTCTTCCGTGTAACGACCAAATTATTACCATTTCAATCTCGCACTACCCATTTGCCTTCATATTATTTTAAATTACTAGTTTGAATACAAATTACATTGCAGTCAAATTTGTAAAATTACCAAATTCAAAGACCAAATAATTTTTAAAAAAAATTCTATTAAAAATCGGTTCTTTCAAAGATAATTATACTCAGAGTTAATTATAAACATTCATTTTAGATATTGGTGTTTATCTTTTTAAAGAATATAAAATTTATGTCATTTTAAATAAAAAAAAGAGATACATAATAAAAATCATGAGGGGAGAAAATAATTTTTTTAATTTAATTTTTAAATAAAAAACACTAGTTTTAATTAAAATAACCATACTTTAAAACAACAAACATTTTTTCCTTCATTTTAATCTAAATAAAAAAAAAAAAGGCCCGTTATTCTTCCTCTCCCTCTTTCTTTTTTATTTGGAACGTCTCAACAAGAAGTAAAAACACCAAGATGCTACATGCTTTCGTTGGTTTGGATTTATGTTTTCGCATCAGAGTAATGACCAATGAACAATCATACCACATGCTACATGCTTTGTGAGCAATGGATGCAATTGAATAGCAACTTCATACGAGAAATTACAGCCTCACGCCTCCGATGAATCTAAGAATCAATGTTGCAAATGCTTTCATCATTTTTAAAAAGCTCAAACAGGTGGGGGCAACTACGAAGCCCACTCCTACTCTGTTTTTTTCTTTTTTTCGGTAATACTATGAAGTGTCCCCGCACCCTTCGAATGTGGGACTATCCTCCACTTAAGATTTTGCCACAAGGTGCTACCATGAGATAACTGTTAGCATTGTCATAATCAATAATGTCAAAATAACTTTGAATATTAGGTCTGAGGCAAATAACACTGGCAGATATTGCTCTTGCCATTATTTTCTCCCTATGGAGTAAGATTCACTAGTTTAATAAGCCACAAACGGAAAGGCTCAAACATGTTGTAGAACACCATATGCAGGTTCATCCATGAGAGAAAATTTGTCAACAGTAGCAAATTCAATTGGCTTGAAACTGCAAGATATACCACAATTATAGATTTATATCATTAGAAAAACGGAATTCAAACAAAAAGTTCATATAATGCTAATAAAGACAGATACCTACCTAGCTATCAGTATCCCTATGCTCGTGCAAGGTTTCCTTTATGAAGTTCACAACAACAGAGACCAACTCCTCTTGATGATTAGTGTATGAATGATCAGCTCCTTCTATGATATGTAACTTGTGGTTTGGTATTATCTTGGCAAACTCAGATGCATCTTCAACAGGGATAATTGTGTCTGAAGAACCATGAACTGTAAGAACCCTGCCATACATTATGTGATTTGAGATTAGCACTTCTATGCATGATGGTAATATCATAGCTTTATTAAGAATTGTTGTTTGCAGTAACACCTTCCTACCTTCATCATCATCTATCACTCGTACCAACTTCATCCACTCCAAATAACTACTCTACGCACTTACTGCATTAAATCATGTGTTTCTTCCTAAATTTAATACCATATATAAATTTGCATACTACAATGATTTCCCCCACTTGATTAGCGAGTAAATCAAAATCAAAATTAAACAATTTTAATTTAAATATCAAGAGTGAATTTTTAACCTTGCAAACTTCCTCCTCTCATTCTATCATAGTTTTCAGAAAATTATAAAGTAAATGGGCAGGAGTTCCTTTTATAAAGTACCAACTCTATAATTTAAACATCTAAAACATCGCTGCTTAGGGTATGTTTGACTTGGATGTAGGAGAAGGAAGGGTAAGGGAAGGTTTTAGGTAAACCTTCTTCCTGTTGGGAGTTTTATAAAATGAGGGATTTTCTTATGATTTTCCCAAACCTTATTCCATTTTGTGAACATAGCAAAGTTCCCCTAATATGGGAAGATTTTAAATACACAAACAAATGGAAAGAATTATTATTTAAACCCTCATTCTCTTCTCTTCTCTTCCTTTTTCCTTTCATTTCTCCCATTCCCTTACAAAAATACCTTAACAGAAATCAAACAGGAATGCAAAGAAGAAAAAACTACTTACAAAATTTGATTTCATTTTTTAATTCTCCCCAGAACAAACTTGAGAATCTTAAAATAAGCTTATATGTTTGAATAATATGGATTTATTTGTCCTTTATATATAAAGAGAGAGAGAGATAAAAACATACAAAAAATTATCCTCACTTTTAATGCTTCCGCTTTATAAAACTTTTTACAGAAGCTCTATAAATCCTACAGCATACTTCATCAACAAAACATGCAAAAAAAGGCAAAAAGGACCAGACAAATATTTTCCCTGACCTGCATTCTTTATCAATCTGAAGGCATGCTTCATGCATATTAGTATCTAAGCGATCCATCAAACTTTCAACAGTCACACGGTAATCAAAACTTCCTGCAATAATAGATATCCTCAAATGGTCATATACTAATAAAATAAGTGTGCCTATTTTTCAAGTATGGAACACATTTGTTAATAATTATTGCTTCTATCTTTCCATTTTTTCCCAATTTTTTGAAGTCTGTTTTAATGTCAGAATTTAAGAGAATGAAGTCAATGAACTGCGGAAAAATAAGAGTATTGAAGCAAGGACTTTGTATAATTCCCAATTCCAAAATTTAGTATAAAGCGTGCAGGGAAAGCAAAACAAGCCATGGCTATGTACTTGCTGATTTCAGCAAATACACTTAATAAGTTCAAAGTAGGGAAACAAGTAATCAATAGACACTGAGTTTGTTCAATTATCTCTTACAACATGCTCCATACTAAGAGGCATTGAAACATATGTCTAAGTAAATGACAGGTTACCTGACCTCTTCACATCAATGAAACCATCCTTCCTAATTCTTTCCATATAATCTTTTCCAAGGCGTTCTTCAATTCCTGCCTTCAACTCATAGCGTCCAGAGAGGTTGACAACCGTTTTAATGTCATGATATTTTGAAGCATAAAGAAGCACCACGTCACCTCCTGCATACAGCTACAACTAAGTATAAACTTCAAAACAAATTGAAAGAAGCAATTTGAGAAGATGTATTGACCAAAGCTGCACTAATAAGCTAGGTTTCACCAAGTACAAATGAAAAGAAAATGACCACCCACATAGAGTAGGAGCGTAGGAATTTGTATCAATCTTACCTATTCCTAAAATAAAGGGGGCGAACCAAAGTAGTAGTAAAGTTGTTCCTTCATGACCGAAAGGTCATGGGTTCGAATCCAGGAAACAGCCTCTTTGCAATTATGCAAGGGTAAGGCTGCGTACAAGGATTTCCTCCACCCCACACTCGCTAGTCGGGTTTAAAGGGCAGTGGTTTTTTTTTTTTTTTTTTTACCTATTCCTAAAATACATAGTTCAAGAAATATAACAGACATCTATAGAATACCTATGTTTGTACAATACTAGTGCTCAACAGTCAACACTACGTTAAAATGAGAGACATTCACTAAGTTCCTGTGTAGCAGGTTTTTGCCAAGTAGCTGAGACACATAAGCTAAAGTTTCTTTTTACTACAATATACTGACTAAGATCATGCTAGAAGTTTCAGCCAGTTATTAAGTACCAGTTAGATGACAAAAGCTGATCCTGGTTCTCTGTCAGAAATAACATAACTCTCTCAATACTGCATCATTCAAGGTTTCTATTTTTACAGCCAAGCCAACAGGAAATTACTTTGATTGGAGCAATTCTCATAATATCATCAGTTATACAATGGAACATAATTGGCGAATGATTATAAAAATCAGCACCTATATTCTCAATGCTATCTTGACATATATTTCTCAACCTTTTGTTGTAGGTAGAAATACTCACAGATAAGGAGAACCAGTCAGTATACCTTTACTGTGCCCAACAATTGCACTAACTACACGGTTTGATTCATGGAAATGTTGAGTTACAGCATGTAAATCATCAGCCTCCCTCCGATAGTAACCATACTGAAACGAACCATCACTTTCCCTAGAAGGAAAATTCAACAGCTAAATTAAGACTAAAGAGAGCAAAGCAAGATTGATGATCAAGACCAGAGGGCAGAAATTTTAATAAATATAACTCAGCGTAAATAGAGAAACTACTACCCAATTTACAACATATTGCTCCGTGTGAACAAAGAACCAGGAACTTATATGCTTAAAAAGTTAAAAGTATTGAAGATTGCTTGATACGACAGGCAATGATAATAGATGTCATATCTGTAATCTGTCTTTGATATATAAATCTCCAGGTTGAAATCATGCTCTTCTAGATTTTAGAGTTTTTCATATCTCATAGTATATTGGTAATCTCCAAGTTTGCTGTACATAAGCTGTTAAGCTTGGGCCAATGCTGTCTTCTCTTCGGAGCTTTGTTTGATGCTGATATTGCCATTATATTGTTGAGTAGCCCGAATTGGCTCTAATGGTTGTATTTTCCTTGAATTATATCATTAAGAGATACCAGCTTAAGCAGTTCCAAGTTCCAACTCTTAAAATGTGGCAGAAAATTATCACTATGCATTATTCATCTAATCTAATTTTGCACATTCCTTTTTCAGTAGGAACCCAAGCTTAATATTTCCAAATATCAGTATTTTCATCTAATACTAATATGTTCTTTCAAACAATCCAAACCTTAAAGAAGCAAATGATTCCAATTATCAATCATGAGGAAATAGATTGGAGTTGCAGTTGCTTGGAAGAGAACCAAGCACCACAATGGTACAAGAAGAGTAATTTCAACATTAGTTACAATAAACAAATATAACATCTGGAACCAGAGCAGTAGCATTAGAGGGCAGAAACATAACATCTATGATGTTTCAGTGATCATAGTATCATATTAATCCATCCAGTGACCCATTTGGTATCCAATCACAAAATATTAGTATTTAGTAACACCAAAATTAGAGCATATTACAACTTAAAACAATATACAAAAATTTTAAATACTCAAAACATCTTATTTTTGTACCCATAATCTTCTTCTTGCTGCTATTATCAACTTAACGAAACACACGAGTGCCAATTCTATTGGTTCTTTCAATGTAGAAGAAGAATTCAAAGAATCATATATGCTTCTAAAAGAGCAGCCTGGATAAAAGCGTCCAATCCACTTTTTTCTCTTTTTATCTTATCACTGATGGCTCAATGCTAATCCAGTTTCGGCAACATCTACAGTTTCGGATACATAATATCTTAAGGGTTCATGGTTTTGTTTTGCATTACAATTAAACTTACCCATTTCCAGCAAAGTCAAAGCGGAAAGAACTAATTCTGGCATTTTCCAATGCAACAGCAAGGTTCAGTATGGCCTTGGCTTCCTGAAGATTTAAAAAACTGAAACAATGAAAATAATTGGGTAAAGGAATTTATGTACAAAGCTTAATATATGAAAAAAAACTAACTTTTGAGGACCGAAAACCGTGACACAAGATTACAATTTCCCTGCTTCCAGATTCATGTAATATACCCACAAGTTTTTCACCGTGCTTGTTGGGTATTATGACTCTCTGTTGATCAACAACTGGAAAGGTAATTAACAGATCAATTATATCAATTTTCTTTTTTCCCTTTGAAATTTATTGAGAATTCAATTGGATATTTGAAATACCATTATAATTTTGCAATAAAAATATAAAAATACAAAAAAAAAAAAAAGGACAACATATATCACCTGGGGTTTGTGCAGCCTGAGCCATCGTCTTCAAATTGAAGGGTCTTGTGGTTCTGGGTGGGATAGAAAAAGGAACCTGGTTATGGGAAATTGTAGAAAAGGAAGGCGTTATAGAAAGTGATGAAACGGTGAAAAGTGAGTGAGCATTTTGCAAAAGGGTATCCATTGGGAGTGAGTGGCCAATTATGTGCATGTGAATATCATGACGAGTCAGAGTCACTCAACTCACTTAAAAGTTACATAAACGTCACAAAACACCACCTCGGTGTTGCTCTGGCTTTTTGACCCTTATAACCTTTTATTATTAATTAATTATCGATTTGACCTTGATTATAAACTATTTCAAAAATTTAACCCCCTCAGAAAATATAACACCAATCTGCCCCTGTTTGACCGTTGACCACCAAGCCTACCCGGGTACACCCTCTGTACCCGGGTATTTTTTGAAAATTTTTGTCTACCCGGGTAGGGAGGCGTGTACCCGGGTATTGTTCTTCGTACCTGAAAAATTGTTTGAATTATTTACCCGGGTAGAGAGGGGTGTACCCGGGTAAATCTTCAACCACCCATTTGGTATTTTTTCTCTCTTCTTTACAGCTAATGAGATAGATCAGTATTATCAAGTTAAGTATGCCTAACCAATTTGAAGAGCTTTTAGCTTTGAGAATGGATTTGGAATTTCCATACATCAACACTTTACTGTTCATCAAAGCGGTCCCTGTTCGTATCGATTATGATGGGGTCTACTTTTATGTACGTCAAAATCGCGCTCCTTATATAAATGTGGTACCGGGTCTATTGGGGAGAGTGAGACGGAAAGAAAATAAAGACAGGGTTCATGGTACAGAAATTTAGTACAGAAATTTAGTGTGAGCATGCAGCTTTTCATTTTACTGATAAATGACGAATTATCACGTTCAGGAAAGACATGCATGGGACAAGGTTTGTGGTTGTGAATTTATACTGTTAACTGAGAATTCTCTTTCTGAAATAATCATTGAAAAATATTTGTGTGCTTTACAGACCCAAAAAAGTTGCAGAGGCAGAGCACGTGATAGTGGGTGCCTCCATATTCAAAGCTTGGAGAAGAAGAGTGCATGGGAGATCCAAAGAGTAATCATACCGGGTGGTTGAAGATTTACCCGGGTACACCCCTCTCTATCCGGGTAAATAATTCAAGCAATTTCTTAGGTGTGAAGAACAATACCCGGGTACACGCCTCCCTACCCGGGTAGACAAAAATTTTCAAAAAATACCCGGGTACAGAGGGGTGTACCCGGGTAGGCTTGGTGGTCAACGGTCAAACAGGGGCAGATTGGTGTTATGTTTTTTGAGGGGGTTAAATTTTTGAAATAGTTTATAATCAAGGTCAAATCGGTAATTAATTAATAATAAAGGGTTATAAGGGTAAAAAAGCCGTGTTGCTCTTCTTGTTGCCTCCTTTTTGTCGTCTTCTCACTTCTTAGTTCTTTCTAACTCAATATTGCTACCATCGGGCATCGGCATGGCATACTCTTAATTTGAACAAATAATTTTTTTTTTAAAGTTTTATTAATTAATTTACACGAGCTAGTTTAACTACTAACTCGTGTAGGTTACTGTATTAAAAATTAAATTGTATTGACGGGAAGAATATATGAAACTAGTAAATTAATAATTTTTTTTTAGCCATTTTGCTATTACGTTTTTTATTTTGGTTTGAATTAGATTATGAAATTAATACCCAATGGGTGCAGCTCAGTTGGTAATTTGGCGCTGAGTTAGTGGGGTTGGACATGTGTTCGATTCCTGCTGAATGCATTCTTGGGGAGGGGGCTGAACCTTTAGCCATCTGCTCCCCGCACTCTGGATTAGTCCCATAGCCGGCTCAAAGAGTCGAAGCTCGTGGGGATACCGGAGGGAGCCAACTCGCCTCAAAGAAGTAATTAGGGTTGGGTAACTCTAAAAAAAAATTATGAAATTAATCAACTGAATTAATTGAACTATAACTTAGAATTTTTGCCATTTAATCTTTAATTCTCTTGCAAACACTTGTGTGAATCTCTTATAGGTGTTATTTTAATATGATTTTTTTTATGTGTTTTTTTAATGTTTAAGTAAGGAAATATATCAACTTTGATAAATTAAAAACTTGATATACTTTAAATTAAATATGATAATTTAGTTTACCAACAAAAAAAAAAAAATAATAATTTAGACCTTTCCTTACTTTAAAAATAAACTCATTCAAAAATTGATGAAATATCCGAAACCCAACAGATCCAAATCATGGCCCAGGATAATCTCACAATCCTGCTACTTAGAGAGGATTTGTTTAGTTTACAAGATTGTTTTATATTTATTTTTCTAAATGTTCAATTCACTTGTTTAATTCAAAATTCCCATGGAACGTATTAAGCTCATAGATATCAATTCATAGATTTTACTTGAACAAAAAGTAATGTTTGATATGTTGAAATAATGGGAGCAACAAAAGTGTGTAAGACAATCGTGGCGTGAGATGTTAATGAATTATTATGTACATCAATAACAAGTGTATCTTCTGCAGCATAAGCGCGCCGGATACTCTTGTTTGGCATTGAGCTCCTCCTCCAAATTATGACTGAAAAAAGAATAGAGAGGAGTGTGAGGGCATTATTCTTTATTTTATTAAAATGAATATATATATATATATATATATATATATATATATATATATATGGGACAAAATATTTTTACATCAGTGTAAGAGTTAGAAATTTTACATTTAATCTTGATTATGGATCCACTTGTACCAATGACTCACATTATTAAAAAATTAGAGACCTTAGACATAAGTGGGATCAATGGTCAAAATTGAGAGTGCAACTTATACTGGTATAAAATAATCCTGATCCTATATATATATAGGTTTTTTGACCACTGTAACCCTTATTTAATAATTAATTATCAAATTGTCCTTGATTAGAAAATATTTCAAAAAATTAACCCTTCCAAAAAACATAACACCAATCTGTCCATGTTTGACCGTTGACCATGAAGCCTACCTGGATATCCCCCTCCCTACCCGGGTATTTTTTGAAAATTTTACCCTACCCGGGAAGCGATGGGGATACCCGGGTATATTTCATAAATCTAGGAAAATGCTTGAATTATTTATCCGAGTAAGGAGGGGATACCCGGGTAAATTGTGCGAATATGGTTTTTTAAAAACCCAAGAGCCCCCATTTCGAAAACCCACAAAGGGGTACCTGGGTAGAGCTGCTGGTGTTGTGCAATACCGCGATTCCCACACCAAATCTTGCTGAAATTCTTCCTTTTTGTGATCATTTGTTCGCGCACGTTACAGTGGTTCCTTCTACAGATTGAAATCCATTGAAGGTTAATTTTTTTTTCCTTTTTATCAATTTTCTTCTGATTTTGATATGTTTGTCAGTTGGTATCCAAAAATTATTTCATTTTTGGAGTTTGCATGGTTAAACATTCGATTATGACCGATTAATTTTTAAAATTACTAATTGTATCCCTAACCCTAACCCTAACTCTAAACATTTTCTGATTTTGCCTTTTTTTTCAGTTTCATAGTGTAACGCAATGGCTTCTAGACACGTTTCAAATATGCCTGTGGGGGATACTAAGAGGAGGACCAAGCGTCGACACGATGGGTCATCATCCTCTTAGCCCCAGGCTGCTATGCATCAGGCTCCTGACTTGCCGTTTGGATATTTGTTTGAGGATGACAGTGTTGCACATGAGAGGTTTGTGAAGCCATTCATGAGCCGGAAGATTTGCGAGCCGAAATCATTGGATTCGGCCTTCTTCAACTTGGAGCATTTCGACACTGTGTCGCTTCTTGAGGAGACACTTTTGCTTGTGCTTGCAGAGATGCGGTGCCCATACTCGGAGGTTATGGTGAGAGCATTCTACCAGAACCTCAACTATGTGCATGGCGAGCTGACTTTCCGTGTCTGCGGGATTGATATCATCATGACTGCTCCTATCTGGACAAAGCTACTGGGGTTCGACTTTGATGGTCTCACAAGTGCAGCATTATATGATGGAGACAACTAGGGATGGCAAAAATGAGCCAACCCGTCGGGTTGGCTCGTAACCCGCACAAAACGAGCCGGGTTGGGTTGGCAAAAATGAGCTGCCAGCTCGATTTAGCCCGACCCGAGCCAACCCGAGCTCAAACGAGCCAGCTCGCGGGTTGAACGAGCCAGCTCGCGGGTTACTCTTTTTTTTTTTTTAATACAATGGACTTTACTGATGGATTCTCCACTGATGGACTTCTTTTATTTTTTATTTTTTGGCTTTACATACGTTTTATGGTTATCGTGAGTTAGAGTAATTCAAAAAATCATGATAAATGACTCTTGTGATTCGTGGAGTGGTTTGTGTTTCATTTAATGTTTTTGGATTTTGTAAACTACTCTACTTGTAGTTGGACTGCAAAATACAATAATTTTATACAGGAAAACAAACCACAAAAATTAAATTTTTTGAGCCAACCCGCTAGCCAATATTTTGAGCTAACCAACCCGCGAGCCAACCCACTAGCATCATTTCGAGCTAACTAGCGAGCTTTTTTTGAGCCAACCCGTGAGCTTTTTTACGAGCCAACCCGCGAGCTGATTATCGAGCCAACCCGCGAGCCAACCCTAACCCGGCTCGGGTCGAGCCGGGTTGGATTTTCTGGCTCGTTTTTTTTTTCGAGCCAACCCGACCCGACCCATTTTTTTTGGGCTGAATGCGGGTTGGGCCGGGTCGAGCCGGGTTGGCCCGTTTTGCCAACCCTAGAGACAACCATCATATATTTGGTGATTATGACCGGAGGCCATTGTTGCAGTGACCAGGAGGACAGATGCTGAGGCCGGACAATTTACTCATTATTCTGTGAGCAACTTGTCGGTGTCTGCTCGCATTCTTCATTATGTGGTCACACACATTATTTTCCAGCGCCCGCATAATTACTCGAAGGTGCTGGAAGGATACTTTGTGATCTTGTGGGCCCTTCTTCACCATCAGCAGGTGAACTGGAGGCACTATGTATGCATACTGATGTGGAAGGCTGCCAAGTCAAGGAAGGCTGAATTGCCTTTTGCATTCCTGGTGCAGAAGATTCTTCATAGATTTGGCGTGCTTATGAAAATAGAGACCATGAAGACAGCCACAGGCTGAAATGATATATTTGGTGAGTGACTTTTGAAG